ACCACCCAATCTATAAAAGTAAATTGAATAGGGAAACAGCATGACCGCTCACAACGTACATTTCAGTAAGCTTACAATCCTGCACCAATTATACATATTCGCTTTGCTTGTTGGGTTTCGTTCATGTCCGGAAAGCAGGTACACCCGAGGCCCAGCGTCACCACCCGTGGACCTGGGTAGACTTGGCAGGGTATCCCTCTATTGCCCCACCAGATGCTCCCCAACATCCCGAGGCCAATCTGAGATAGCTCGGTACATATGTGTGCTTTATACATGTGCCGAGTACTAGTTTCGCTTTGATCTACCAGACCCTTGACAGAATGGAAGGGCTCCATCTTTTACTACAACATAGAGTATAGCCCTTGTCTCGGCACGCGGTCTAGGCCTAATTTAGAAGACCGGTTTGCTGAGAGTACATTGCAGCTAATCTCAATTTTGGAACGATGGTAAGGGGCCACTAACGTGAGAGCCTGGTTCTCTGGAGGCCCATATTAGATTATTAGATTGGCAGTTGGGGCTCTGGGAGTATAAGTTATTCTGGTGAGCCCTATATATTGCGTGAGTATTCCGTACGGAGTAGACCAAGTGCAATAGTATAATATGGTGGTAATACTGTCGATTATCTAATAATCGAATGATGTTGAGACACAACTACCTATTTTGTACGGAGTACTCCGTAGTCCGAGAATGGTTGTATATGTACTCCGTCCAGGGGACATATTGTCGAGTTCCAAGGTTACTTCCTAGGTTGTGGGGCGGAGTTCGTATTAGGTAATTTCCGACCACCCCCCGGGGCCGCTACATGCAGATCTCCTACCTCTTCTGCCGAGGTCTCCGCTGATCGAATGCTTCGCTTCACATCTTCGGAGTACGGAGTACTCCGTATGTGGTAGGGATTCCTTAAGAGCCTCGAAACGATTTGTATCAGATCTCGATACGGAGTATCGAAACGAATCTCGAGATCGGTTTATCTCCTCAGATAAGACCTAGATAAAGTGCCACCACATCGCCAAATCTTATGAGTATTGTCGGCAATACACGTCACAATCCCTAGACAAGGATCGCCTGTCATATCCGCAACTTAGAATTCAGGTGCAACTGGGTTTGGTTTGGGATGGACGGGAGTGCTTCCCCTGAAGACAACCGAAGACAACCGGAGACAACCTTTGGAACCTTCCAAGGTTGGAAACTTCAAAGCGGATTATCAGCAACGGCTGCCCATTATAGAATAGTCCCGACACTAGCATCACGGTAGCATCGCGGTGGTCTCACGGACTTGGATCTTTTCAAGCCATCGACTCCACTGGTCAGATTTGATTTGCGGTCATCAGTGGGGAGTGGATTATTCGGCCGGGCTCGAGTCTTGGAGAACAAGAGGCCTGTGCATACTCCGAAGATATTCTATTACTTTGTAATAACAAGAGGCTTGAGCGGTGGCATCTGAAACTCATTGGAAGCTCCCGTATTCAGAACAGTTGCCATGCATGTGGCTTCCACATGGTTTTCAGAGTTCTCTTTTAATTCCATCTCTGCATGGGAGAACCTTGAAATATTCGACGCTATTGGAAAAAAGAGTTTTATAGTCTTTTCTTTTTCTTTTTCGAGTTCTTTTTCGAGTTCTTCCAAAGGTTTCCCCTTCCCCCACACATGAAACCCTCCATGTTCCACGGTTAGAAGCCTGCCGCCCACCTACAGGTGCCGAAGGGCCCCATTATTCCAAAGTTTGAAGCAGATGTCTAACCCCATATTAACAAGCGTATAGTATTACCCGTTGATTCTGGCTATTTTTTTTTTTGCCTATGTTGCATTTCCCGTTATTTGGCCGCATTTTCCTTCCTTTTTTTTACGAGAATATCGCATTGGCCCCTCTCTTTCTTGGCCCGTTCTCGCCACTGATGCCTGTGGTCGTAAGGCTTGATCTACATGGTAGTGGATTTTCTCTTAATGTAACTTTTTTTCTCCCCTTAATCTATCTTATTCTTGTTGCTCCTTCGATCCTCGCATACTTCGTAGGGAAACTATACGGAGTACGGCATGACTTGGTAACCATATATTCATTCCCCCGGTCAATATGTTGCCCCTCGAAGGTCGTAGCCAGTCGATCTTTATCGTTACTACTGTCTTCCTCGGAATCTCATTTATTGCCGTCTGTCTACGATGCTTCGTGCGCATCCGACTTGTCAAGGCCTTTGGCTGGGATGATACCTTTATGGTATGCGCAATGGTACGTGTGATAGGTTCTATGCACAAGACTGAGACCTGGACTAATTGATTTGCAGTTGCTAAACATATTGTTTGGTTTATGTGGTATCACTGGCGCATTATATGGAATGGGACAAAGATCCGATGACCTCGTGAAGAGGGGAACGATGGAAACCGCGATGTTTGTATGTTGGCCTTCGACCCCCAACCTTCACTTACGAGATGAGAATCACATGCTAAAACTCCCCCAAAGTGGTGGTGGCTCGGTCAAACCAGCTATGTCTGGACCTGTGCGATGGCCAAGATCTCTATCGCTTTCGCCCTCCTCCGCTTGACGGTTTCCAATGTCCATAAACTTGTGTTATGGGTTGTCATTGGCGTCACTTGTATTATTGGTATAGTCTTCTGGTTCATGTTGACATTGCAATGTCAACCGGTTGAGTTCTTCTGGCAACGGGTTCGCCTTTTGTCGAACCCTCATGCCAATGTTTCTGGCAACTGCATGAACCTTGACAATATCATTGCCATGGCCTATGTCTACAGTATCACCGCTACACTGTGTGATCTGATCCTGGGTCTTTTGCCTATTGCACTGGTGTGGAACTTGCAGATGAACATAAGGACCAAATGTGCCTTGGCGGGAATTCTGGGAATGGGATGCATGTATGTCTGCCCTTTAACACCCTGAAATAAGACTCAATACTGACATATTCTGGTATAGTGCGAGCGCAGCAGTCATCGTTCGCATTCCATTCCTGCACGACTACAAGGATGATGACTTCCTATGTGAGTTTTCCATTCCTCTGATCAAAGAATGAAAAAGCAGCAATAACTAACACTATTCAACCCCAACAGACGCAACCGCCAACATCTCAATCTGGTCCAATGTCGAAGCTAGCCTCGGAATCGCCGCAGGCAGTCTAGTAACTCTTCGGCCGTTATTCCGCTGGTTCCGCGACCCCAGCTCTATGGGAGGAAGTAAGAGCAAAAGCAAGCGCACCGGCGGCAGCATGCCTCTCTCAAGCATCAACGGAGTACGCTCCACCACATCCAACCCGCAATACTGGCGACCAGATCTAGATCAGGAAGAACATACTGTGATTACGACTGTTCACACCTCGAATGGATCAGAGGCGAGCCGAACGAGTAGCCAAGAAGATCTAAATCCGGCACATGGTGGCACATTCTTTCATGGGGTGAATGTCCAAAAAACGTTTTATGTTTCAGAGGATCAGAGATCCTAAGTGGGTGACCAGGTAGTTAGATAGACTATAATATATCCAAACTTTAATCTATTTTTTTGGCTCAATACTGCATATGTCTCACTGGACCATAACAAAGAAAACATTTGGTATATATAGCAAAATGGAGATACAAAACGAGACTGGCTTATCCTTCAATGTTGAATTGCACAATGCTAGCAAAGAGATGAGTAGTTAAAAAAGGGTATAGAAAAAAAATGTAATAATAATAAGAATAATATAATAGACAGCTAGAAGAATAAATCAAATTAAAAAAAAAAACCTAATGTTGGTCATTACCCCTGTAGTTATGCCCTTTGTGGTATCCCGTTAACCTTGGAAGCCAGGTAGCCTGAAAAAGCCGTCCCTATTTCGAAGTTGTAAACCTCTCTAATATCTCCAGAGCTTTTCTGATATGTTCTATCAAACCTGATGCTCACTCATGCCCTTCCATAATCTCGTGTAATTCACGCCAACCTCGTCCATGGTCTCAATGAGCACGGCTAGGGTACAGACCGGCCGCCACAGCACGTCTCATCCATTCGCCCCTAGGCAATACCATAAAACCTTCCAATGTTCTTGGAGGTTCCGGCTGTCTCAAGGATAATAGAAGAGAACGAGTCTCTTTTAGCAAACCAGACCAATCTTCGGGTTTGGGGGCGAGGTTGGTTATATGTGATTACAGCCTACTGTGGCATCTACTAATTGTAGGGGCCGGAAAGTGAGGAGGGAGAGATTTGATTTCTATGGAGTGAGATCTCCGACTATATAAACCTGTGAGAGGTTGATGTCGCCATAACACAACCTTGGGAGTTACCAGATCCCATAGACAATTAGAATACAATATTTTATTAACAAATTCGATTTCACTCCTTCTACATCGCTCGAAACTCCCAGTCGCATGGTAAAGCCCTCACCCGTACACCTGCTCCAGTTGAACAAGACTCGTCTAGGTCCGTGTCTGCCATAATGAAGTCCATCACACTTTATATGAATGCTCGTGCCTAGATGGAAATTCTTGACTCCCGGGTACGGTTATACCATCAACCCGAGGGCGGCCACAAGGGACTAGAACCCTTCCAGGTCCTCAACCTTCGACTGCCGGTAAGGCAAACTCGGGATAGCCATGTGGTGTCGCTGCCCATCACTTAGCTATGGCTTATCAAACTGTTCTTGTGCTTTGCCCAATTCAGAGTTTACGGTATCGCATTCTCGTTTGTTTTCTCCACGCTCGATGGCCGCATGCCGTTGTTTTTTTGATTTCCGAGCCGTTTTTACCTCAGGCAGGCACGATTTCCGCTTCTTCGTCTGATTTTCCCCATAATTGAGGCTGTCGGGTTGAAAATGCTCGTCGCCGGATTAAAGTTGGGGTGCGCACGTGTGTCTGTGGCCAGGAGGTGCTGGTAGAGCTTGTTGGGACACGTTCTTGCTTGGCTTTAGGGATAGCCAGTGGAACTCAACGTTCACCGAGGTCTTTGTTTCATTCTCGCATCCTTGGTATGAGAGAAAGCTGAAGCAATGCTATGGTTCGAGGTGTATCACCAGGTCTAGTCGGTGCTATCCCGGTTCTATTTTGACCCTTTGGGTGCCCTGGCTAATCCCCAGCAGGCGCATATGTCCTATCTCTGAGTATGGTTCAGGATCGATAATTTCGCGGTCGCAGAAATTTCCCTGGCAATAATTAGCTTATCATGATCAGTATAGATGCCCAGGTGCCCGATTCGACCACTTACATAACGTTTGGTAGCATCGCTATCAATGAGCCTCCTCCGGTACGCACGTCCAGGATGCTCGCAGTTGTGGCATTTCCCTTGATCAGTTAGCATAGGTAACCTAGCTATAAATATGGGAGGGAACTTGTTTATGCCCTTACCTGCGATGCGAAAATCGACCTCCAGTTCTTTGGTATCGCTGTGCCATAGAGCCAGGTAGCCAAGTTGCTCGCTATAAGCACTTTGCAATATGTTCCATATACGGAAGGATCAAAATAAAATCCGTCTCGTTCTTTGGCCTTTTCCGAAGATGGGTCTCGCGAATCCGCGCGACATAGCTTATGTGGCCACCGGGAACACGGTCATCACAGCCTTGCGATCCTTCTATACCCAGGTGGTAGATGCGAAGAGGCGGTGACATGGAATTTCACAATTAACCGATTGGGGGCGGGGGGGCCTGGATGGAGAAAGAAACATGAGATGGGGGAGAAAAGAAAATATACGATATACTAATCGAGGTAAGTGTAGAGATATATATATGTCAAGGTACTTTCATTACGAGAAATTGAAGGAACCAAAGTTTTTTTTTTTTGTTACACGTTAAATAGATACCTAGGTATATGCTGTACACTCCTTAAATATTGTATAACTAGTAACTAATAGTTATATAAGCCCACATGACAGATATGCTTTTCAACGGGGCTGCAGGATGCGCTAAGACCGCCACCATGCAAGTTTATTTCTTAGGAAATATGGAAATGCTTTGTTTTCCTTCATAGTGCACTTTATTGCTCCTCTCTTCAACAGCCCGGCCGGGCTAGCTCAATCGGTAGAGCGTAAGACTCTTAATCTTAAGGCTGCGGGTTCGACCCCCGCGTTCGGCTATTCCTAAAAACCAAACCTGAGATTTCTTTTTTGCTCTTTTCTTTTTGGGCTATTATAAGGACTGAAGTGATGGGGGATTCTTTTAGACATGGAAAATGATGGTTTGGTATAGAGTTTTAAATGTTCTTTTTGTATATTTTTAGATATCCTTTTTTTGCGTCTACACAAAGGAGGTAAAACACATAAACCACGCAGAGCAATTTTCTATGTATGACTAGGGAATTCGTCTGCCGCATTCCTTTGTTGCCTCTGAGACACTGTACTTCGTTAGATCTGGTCTTTGCTTCTTTGCTTCTTTCTCCCACAAAGCCCCTGGTGAACTATATAATAACTGCATGGTACTCGTAGTATGTGGTTATCATCTGTCATTAGCATCTCAGCTGACCAGGATTCGAGATACCTCCTTATTTTAATCTCCAAGACGTGCATACTACGTAAATACTACGTGTATAACTTCATCTGTTTATACCTCTCTCGACTAAAGGTATATATATCATTGTGTATTCTCCTCTCATCGACGCCTCTTTCCAACAAGCTGCTCTAATTCGTGTCATACTTTACTTTATCACTGTTTCGATCCCGATTCCTCTTTTCAAATTTCACCATGGCAGGTTTTCGAAGCTTTGGCAGAGCTGTGAAGAAGGGATCGCTTGCAGGCCTTCGAGGCTTTAGCAAAGCTGTGAGAAATGGATCACTTGCTTTGGTGTGTGCGTGTCTGGGGCTGTGTGTGCTAGCGATATTTATTGTGGGAAGTGTTTTTCAGATTGTCATTAGCACTGGTGTGCTACTGCTACGTCTTGTGGGAAGTATTTGTTCTTGTGTCTTTTTTGTTGCATTTGGTTGGTGAAATTGCGAGAAAGATCCATCACTCCTGTGCATAAGCGTTTTAGTCGGTGGATGGACATATAATCTTCATCGTGGATATATAAACAAGTTCATATAAAATACGAAAGAATTCCCAATATATATGTATATATATATAGTAAAGCCATTGATTGTATATATCGTAGAAAGAACCAACGCCCGATGCTATGCACATATCATCGTAAAGCAAAGTGCTCGAACGCCAGAACATCAATATTAAAAAAAGGGTGCAAGCGAGAGTAGACGGGCGGGTGACCAAAAGACGCAAGATAGATGTGCAGGCACCGCGTGTGAACAAAAATAAATATCCTCACCCCAACAATTAAAACTCAAGTCAAGAACCTGGCTGTAGATTCCCCGTATAAACACCTTCGAAATCGAGATTCGCAAGCATGCCACTAACATGATCGATCTCACGGCTCAAATCCTCGACGTTCATCGCTAGACTGCTAACTTCATCGAATTTCCGTCGCCGATTGGCATCAGCGATCATTTCGGACACGAAGAACTTCTGCTCTTCCAGCACTATCAGCCGGTCTCGGAGAGACTTTTCTTCCGCTTCCAGAGCTGAGACGGCACTGCTGGTATCGCTAGCCAAGCTGCTATTGCTACCGCTAGCGGTAACGCTGTTGTATTTGATGGATGCAAGAGCAGACTCTGGTGGCCGGAGACCCGCCGAGGAGCCATTGACTGGAGTGCTCGGGGAAATTGTCCGCGGGGAGCTTGTCCGGCTGGGTATTCTCTCTGACGCGGGGGTTGCATGCTTGAGGATTTTGGGGAGGGACTTCAGAGGTAACATATGGAGGTGAAGGAAGTTGCTGGCTTGTTGATATATAGCCTTCTGCAGCTTTTGTTGTGTGGGGGACTGGGTCGGCATGTCACGGATACGTCGAGCCGCAACATCATATTGTGCAAAAGAATCAATCAGTCGCTTGCGCACCTTGGATGCATCTGCAATCTGGGCGGATGATGGGGGTCGCCTCGGATCCCTGGTACAATGCCATTAGTAACTGACTGGAACACCGGAAACAAACACCATACTGTAAGGCTGTCAAAAGCTTTTGGAATCTAGGTAGATGAAGGCGGATGCCCCTCTCAAACTGGGTCAAGTTCTCATAAGCCTTGATCTCCGGCGGTTTTCGCATCATGTCTGCTTTAAAGTCGCGTCGATCAAACAGTGTCGCTTTACATTCCTTGCACAGCCTCACATCAATGTTGACAAGGTTATCACCATTGGTTTTCTCGGAGGTTGCTGTCGAGCCTATTAGAAATTAAACCAAAGTCACGCAGAAAGGCCGTCTCGCAACTCACCAGGAGAAATGCTCAGCCCAACTTCACTAGAGCACGCGGTACTAGGATCACCGCAGACAACTCGTCCGCAGGTTCTGCAGTGGTGCCTGCGAAATGTATAGCCCGAAAAATCCTGTTGGCAAAATGGACATCGTGAAACACTGGCGTCATCTTGCCAGCTGACAATCGTTTGCTCTATTTCCTTCCGTTGATCATTCTGCCACGCAAGAGACCAAAGTTTGGTTGCACTGGGGTGAATTTGATCCGGTGGCAGACTAGCCAACAGCTGAGTGAGACGGGTTAGTCGTTTCTCGAGTCGGGAAATCTCCAAAAATTCCTTATCGACAGTTTGTTTTCTTATCGACTTGAACGCATCCGTTTGGTTCCTCACGATTCCTGTTTCTTGTTTAGCTGGGTTCACAACTGCAAAGTTGATGTTCTCACCATTATGATCATTGTACCCCTCTCTTGACTTGTAGCAGGTTTCGCATACTCGAGCCCATATTCCCCGTACCGGTTCATGATGTGCCGCTCGCGAGAGCTTCATTTGGTACATTGTGTGTTCCTCGCAAAAGAGTTTCCCGCAACTCCGACAGTTCACACAGCCGTTGGTGGCATTCAATCGTTTCCCACAAGATGGCTCCAAACACTCGTCGTACATACCCCTTGTTTGCCAATGGTCTTTTGTTATGAGATCCTCGGGGTCTAATATTTTCGGAGGTTCGGGGATGCCTGCATGGTGTGCTAGTGGGCGGCTGGGGAGAGGCGCGCCCTGGTTCTCGTTTGATTCAAACACATCCAGGCCTTTTAACTTCTGGTTTAGGACTGCCAATGGCTGGAACTTCCTCGCCTTTTCCATTTGAACTTTGAACCAGTCTTTGACTTCATCCTGGTGGCTGTCTTCCAGGTTCTGATGGATGTCGTCGAGATGTCTGCGTTGAATCGTTAATCATACGTTCAGGCGGACATGAGCGGGGATGATGGATTGGTACCTATTTAATTGTAGCAAAGTCATCTATATACACAGTCAGTATCATCTCATTCGACCTTTAAGAAACAACAGGGCGGAAGAAGCATACCATCTGTTCGCTGCAGATCGGACAGGAGAGCTGAGCCCCCGGAGCAGCCGGAGCGGCAGATATCGAAGTGTCGCCATTCTCTATTGAAATGCGTGAAGTAAGATCCTGAGTTTCTGTCGAGAGCTGTGAAGCGGCCTGTGAATTAAGGGAAACGCTGCTGGCGGCCGGCGAGAGCACCCGTGGCTTCGGCTGCGGGGACGGAGCTGATGTGAGCGCGCTTGGGTTGCCCAGAACACGACCTCCACCCAGCGTCCTCCGCGACATGATCACGGGGGCATGAGAAGCTAGAGTAGAAGCTGTTTCAGCACAACATCTGTTGGCTGTACAGAATAAAAGGTCCTTGGAGGTGACCGGAGGAAAGTGCCAGTTATGATGTGGAGTCAGCATGTGGCTCCCGGGGCCTAAGGCATCTTTGCCAAGAGTTTTCAATGGAGATTTGATATTCGTAGATTTCATAGATTTTACGGATGATACTTATTAATTTCATTTAGTTTATATATAACTGATTCAACATATCTACACCATTTGTTAACACCCATTTCGAAAGCTACGTTTATATAGTATCGTTGCCCATGGATATAAACCTCGGTAGCACATCATACAACATACGATATACAAAAAGAACAAAGAATTGTTAAATATTTGCCTAATTTGTTTCATTTGCTGCCTGATTTGAATTGAAGCCATACCTTCGCCAACAATGAAACCAGACTAGTAAAGCCATGCAGAAACGACATACCGAAACGACATACCGAAACGACAGACTGGAAACGAGAGACAAGATGCGATAGCAATATAACCACTAAAAGCAAAAGCACAGACAATCAAATTAGGCCCTTTTTCTTGGTCTTTTGACGCTTTTCAACTTTTTTTTTCCTTTTCATCTGTTTTTTCGTCTCGGTGATTCATATAAAAGGTTCGTGGTCTCATGCCGATTATATACAAGCCTAAGTCCAAACCCAACGCGCATTCAAATCACTGAACGCGTTTATCGCTCATAGTCACGGTGGTAGCTGGTACCAGTGTTTGGATTGTCGTATTCCTTGTGGACGCGAGTAGATCCGTCATCAAAGCGGTCAACGTCGCGGTGTCGATAGGTACCAGCATTGTTAACGCGCTCACGGTGGTGTCGACGGCCAGTGGGGGTGCTGTAATCAAGATGCTGGTCGTAGGCACCGGTGGCGGGGTCGTATGATGTGGTGCCGCGGCCGGTGTCGGTGTCATAAGTCGTAGCAGTTGCATTTGAACCGTAGCCCACTGCGCCAGCGCCAAGGCTATAGTCCCTTGTACCGTAGGTGTTGTA